AATTATAATAATAAATTGTAATGATAATACATACATTGCAATCGTCATCATCATCATCATACTCATAATCATAACAGTAATAACAGTTCGTCCATCAATGTCTGACGATGACCAACGTATTTGTAGAGGAGAATATAATAATAATAGCATAAAGGGTAGAAAAAAGAAGAGGGATAAAGTTATCTGTGGCTTCTGGTACGATCAATAAGAACAGTTCTGGCTGAGAAAAGTTCGCTCCCATTTGGAGCATTTGAAAGCTCCATTAACACTTCCTCTCATGGCTGTGCGCAGTTTTTGGGCTTCTCATTTGGCTTCAGCATTTTCTAATTCGTGAAGCTATATATCATGTATTTTAGTACAGAAAGCACGATGTAGCATCATTTAGGCAACATTACATTTATGTGGCATGGTGGTGAAAATCAGGCTCTTGTCAAAATAATGAAATTGAAAAAAACAACAAAAAACAGTTTCCACACTGCAATATTTTTCGATTCTTTTCCCTCAACACATTTTATATACATTTAAAAACACATTTCTGTTGTGTTTTAATGAAAAATGGTGTCTAAAGCACAAAAAATAATGTCTACTTGCGGTTTTCAGGGACACTCGACAAGCTTTGAAAGTCACCAAACTCTGACAGCCATTTGTCTAGCTAAGTTTACCTTTGACACTTGGCGAACCCCCTCCTTCTTCAAAGGCAAACTATATGGATCTTGACTTCAATGTAAAATCGCTGGGTATTTTTTTCCATCAAAAGCAAGCCACATGAACAGACATAAAGATTATACAAATAAATCTATAGGCCCCTACACCCAAAAATCGAGGAGCACCTGGTTCTGCCTTGTCGTGACACATAGAGAGGTATACATCCCATTAACCTTTTTAGGTTATTCGACAACGCTTACGGACACAGTTCTGTGGCACTTTAAAAAAGAAGCATAATATTCATCCAAATTAATTATCAACTCTTTTCTCTTTGCCTAAAACTTTTAAAAGGCAAGCAATAAAGGGCATACTTTGAAATACGAGAATATGCAAACTCATAATTTCAGGTTATGTGTCTCAACATTGTCTTTAGTTATAGCTGGTCCGACATTATCTTTGTACCCTCTATGACCTTCAAGGGATAAAGTTCTGGGGTTAGATTGGGCGGACGTTAGGGGAAGGGGGAAGAATAGTGATGTGGCAGATCAGCAGAATAGAATATAATCATTTATATTAATTAGTATGTATAAGCAGGATAATTATATGATAATATTGTAGTGTCCCAGCGTGATCTATTCCTTAATCATCACGGTGAAATATGACGGTTCCTTCCTCTGCACCAAATCCCACAAACTATGACCCCTTCTTTCAGACTAAACCAGTGGCATCTTTTACCCCGTCTGTTTCG